CTCTTGAAAACAAAAAATAAGTTTTCATTGTGGGTGAGGCAGGGGGCAGGGAGAGGCAGAATAATAACTCCTTTTATTCCTCCCCACCACACTGGCCACATAAATGGGAACAAGACATGTAGTGTTTGGAATTAATCTCCACCCATGAATTCTTTAAAAATAACACATTCTTTTTGGTCTTTTTCATCTTTCAAATTTGCATAAAATATTTCAACATAAGCCACTGTTTTTGTCATCCTGAAAAACAGGGTGGGAGGGGGAGGGAGAAATCATTCAGCTTCAACAGAGTTCCATGAAATATGGTTTTCACTTATTACAGAGAATGTTTCAGAGATAATGGAAAGGTAATTATATTGAAATGTAATTTTCAATTAATTACTTTTTAAATTATGCTGCCGGATACCCAAATGGTGCCACAAATGTAGAGGATATTTAGCTTTAATCTACTGACAGTAATAGCTCTGGGTTATTTTTGTTTGTAGGTCCACTTAATCGACAATTTCTTTTTAAGCAATTTATATTGACCCAGTATCTGAAAAAACAGCTTCTGAAAAAGAAGTAGATATTACAGGGCCTTGATTCACACGTCAACAATCACATACATTAATGATACTGTATTACTGACAATTACATGACTAGCTGTGAAAAGGAATGCTAAAGCATCCCCAGTAAAAGTCCACGGGTTTAAGATTCATTGACTCTGACAAGGTTTTAAAACCTGACTTTTGACAAAATACAGGGGAATGTGGTGTGTCAAAAAATCAGATATCATATAGAGAGGGTTAATAAGTTAGAAAACATGATTTACATGAGAATGTATAGATTTTCGGGCATTTTAAATGTATTTCTAATGTTCATAAATCAGAAATTCAAATTAAGTTTGGAATTCATCATGGAGAAAACCTTTGTGCATCAGGGTTAAGTCTGATTTAAACTGAAAGGCATTTTCTGATCTTAGCATTTGATTTAATACTTTTTTACATAATTAATTTGAAAGTTCTGGTAACCAAATAAAATTAATTTTTAGCTAAAGCAGAATGCAAATTCTCATCTACTCAGACAAAAGTCTACAGGAAAAGAACCCAAAACAATAAAATCACATGCTGTCACAGGCTGCTCCTACCAAATACCCCATATGGACAAATATTTTAATACTATCAATACTAGAGATATATAACTGACAAAATTTTCCCTCAACTAACATATCTCTTCAAAAACACTCAAAACAGAAATGAGAAGACTCAATTTTTATGCACTAACTAGATTTCTAAGCATAACCTTGTACTATGTTCTCATGTTATTAAAATAAATTGATGCTAATTACTAAAATAAATCTGGAATGTATTCACCAACGACTGCAGTGTCATCCTAGTCTTATATCTGTGTAAGAAAAAACAAACTTTACTAACAGGTTTTCTTTAGTACATCATCATATGTGTGTGTAAGTTTGTATATCAAAAGTACTACACACATAAATACATAAATTTAATAAACATGCTATATTGACATATAAAGGTGGGTTTTTTTAAGAAGAAAGAATGCTAAGGCACATACATGTAGAAGGATATTTTATTACCAATTAATGTTAAAAGAAATATCCACAAATTATTACATACTGTATAGATTGAAGAACAGATAGCTTAATATTCTATAATGGCAATATAACAATCTATAAATAAACTAAATGTACCCTTTCTGAAGGAGTTTTTTCTGTGTTTGTTTCACTTTAAGAACAACGTAGCTGATTTCAAATTAACATGAAAATATGAGATTAGCATTTTTCACACTTTATAACTCAATACCATAATTGGTACCATATTTATACTGTTTTCATCCTGTTAGAGGAACTGAAATGTTGTCACTCTTCAAATAAAATATGTTAAAAATAAAACAGACCCTAGTGTGACCCTCATTTATTTTTATTTCTTTTCCCCCTTTGGAAATATTGTAGCTTTAAGTATCATACTCTTTGGCACAGAATAATCCCTTTGGCCTGAATATCAAGACAGCTTAAAATTCTCTACCCACCTAAATAGGGTGGTACCCTAATAAACAAAAAAAAAAAAAAAAACCCACACACAAAAACTCTCTTTCTTTTAAAATACTTTGAAACACTAGCTAATGAACATCAGAACTGTAAAGTCATCCTTGAGTTAGCCATTTAACAACAAGAATTAGGCAGGTAACATGTAAATGAAAACAGTATTGAGGCTTGTAAATCTTCAACCTAAGTGTCCTGGGTTCAGCAGTAGCAGTCATTTTTCTCGTTCTTAGTAGCTGCTGCAGTGTTGTGGTTTTGACTTTCAGCCTTGGAATAGCGCTGATAACACTGATGTTTTTAGCTATTGCTCAGTAATGTTTACTGTGACCAAGGACTTCCCAAGTCTCATGTTCTGCCAGGGAGGAGGGGAAGCCGGGAGGAAGCAGAGACAGGACACCTGACCCAAACTAACCAAAGGGGTATTCCATACCACAGCACATCATGCCCAATATATGAACTGAGGAGCAGTTACCTGGAAGGGCTAGATCACTGCTCGGGTCGGGCTGGGTATCAGTCGGCAGGTGGTAAGCGGATGTATTCTCTTCCCTTGTTATTTCCCTTATCATTATTATTATTGGTGGTAGCAGTAGTGGTTTGTGTTATACCTTAGTTACTGGACTGCTCTTAACTCATAGGAGTTACATTCTTTTGATTCTCCTCCCAATCCCTCTGGGAGCAGGGGGAGAAATGGTGGGGGAGAGTGAGTGAGCACCTGCATGGTTCTGGGTTGCCGGCTGGGCTTAAACCACAACAGTTCTTTTTGGTGTCCAACATGGGGCATGAAAGGTTGAGATAACAACAGATCTGACCAGAGTGTGTACCAAGACAAAGAAGGTACTGTGCAATAAAAAAAAAAAAAAAAAAAAGGTTAAAAATGGGATCTTAAGGCAGAGAGGGGAAGTATCAAAAAGAAAGGAAGATATAAAGGAGAAAGAGATGTTAGCACAGACTGAGGAAAAGAGACAGAGGGACCACTAAAGATGATTAAAAAGTATTCAAAACTGAACACTTGCAGCAGAAAATGACTATCTGAAACATTTTACACCTCGGTGCCCTCAACACTTTACACAGAAAGCAGGCTCACAAGTCAGATTGCCAGAATCTCTGCCTGGCAGGCTTCCCAACTCTCTAGGTATCCTGGAAGCTGTTTCCCTAGAAAAATCTGCCCAGAAATCCAGAAAAACAGAGTGCCCAGTGTCTGAAGGGTAGAGTTTTCTGCTGGTGATACACACAAGCTACACAATTTTTCTCTTTTGTAGCTAGAAAGACACAACATCCTTTATTAGCTATAAGTTTCTTGTATGTTGGGCACTGGCTTCTCCTACATAACAGATAAGCTATATTTCTACTACTACTAACTCTTCTGTAAGTTAGTTCAAACTTGAGTTCCCTTTGTTCAATCATTTTGGTCAAAAGCAGAAATGTATGGTTTCTGCAGCACCTCTTGATAGAAAATTACAGCTTCCTATCTGCAGTAGGAATACTTCACTTTATATAAGAAGGCAAGGTCCTTACAGTAAATCAGTATTTTCTATAAAATCAAAGGATGCAGCAAAGAGAAACAGCACAAAAATCTTTCTTTCACTCCGTATTTCTCTGTGCTTGAAATTTTAACAAGTTTTCCACTTATGACAATGGTCCTAAGACCCAACTTTTTCTTACAAGTCTTGTCTTAGTCTCAGACCATCATGGCCACAGGAATACTATTACAATGTCCCAGTAATGTATTTTGCTTCTTCAAGACCAAACCACAGTGATGCTTTGCAATCATCTTGTGATCAGCTACTGTACACAGTAAGTTATCTGCCAATGTCACAAGTTTCAGGGTACACCACACTATGCTCTGCCCTAGTGCATCTCATTCTATTTCCTTTTACTATAGTCCATAATATCAAGCTTTTCCAGCATAATATTCATATTTTTCTCCTTTTTTAGCAAGAATTCCCAGACTTGGTTTAGCGAGTTGATTTTATTAGCATCCATCTACTTCTTTTGACTAGGTTATTATCAAAAATAACTAATGCGATTAGTGGTCCTAGACACACTGCTTTAACCTGAATACCTTCTCTTCCAGGACCCAATGCAGTCACTCTGTTAGCTTACTAAAAAACTAATGTCGGTCATCTAAAGAAAACTGAGCCCTTTTGTTAACAGGGAGTACTGCTCTCAGTAACACACCTCCAAAAGCTCAACTGGCCTTTGACCCCGCAAAGGAGGGGTTCCAAAAAAACTAATCCTTTCGGTCTCTAAACTTTTTCATGGTTCTCATGTTCCAGCACAGCAGAGCATGGGCTTTTTAACACCTCTGTGCTACAAAGGAAGAATAACTAGGTCATTTTAAAAACTAGTTCATTTGATTACTCCTTCTTCTCCGGCTTCTTTTATTTTTCATTATATTTTTATATCTGGTTTTAGGCTGCTGAAGCTTCTCAGGAGTAGAGACTTGGGATGACGATCAGCTCTTTAACCATTTCTCTTGCAATTGTGGTAAAGTCACAGTTGCGTAAAGCACCCTACAAGCCTTACTCAAACTATTAGATCTTCAATTTTAAGCCTGGTATATATAAATGGCATTATACAGTTTCAGAAACAGTACTTTTTTCTGAGATTTGTTATTGTCATTTCAGAATAATACAAACCATTATGAGATCTCACTAGTAAGCAGAAATTTCTATGACAAGTATGGAACAAGTTAATTACTCGCTCTGAATTTTTCATGTTCCTCTCAATTAATGTTAGCAATATTATGCACTGTGAATGACAAAATGAAATTCACCTACTGAAAAAGTCTGCCAGCAGAAAAAGAATGCACTTTGCTCTAAGCTTTAAATATTTGTCTATTGACAGAATAGCCACATGCAGCATTAATAAGTGATTTCTCAATAAAAGCCTACAAAATAAAAGATGTTGCTCCTATGCACAGCAAAAGGAAAAAAAAAATCAAATTAAGATTACTTACTTGATTAAGTATATCTTGTTTCTGTAATGCATGCAAGGAAGGAAAGAACACACATACATTAGTGCAGTGTCATAACACTTAGGCTCTGTTTTTAGAATGTAACTATTTTTGTTGAAAGGTTAGTGATGTAAATGAACAGGTTTAAGACATTAGACAGAATATGCCATTTTCTTGCATTAGTGCATATGCCCAGAAAATGGTTCTGTCAGCATTCTAGTCTTGATTAGAGAGTGCAAGCAATTTATTTTTAACCACACAATGACAGATAACCAATGGAAAAAAAGTAAATACAATGTTTGTCTTTCTCTGTGTACTTTAAAAAAGTAACAAAAATTATCTGCTGTCAAGCAATGAAATAACTTAAATAGAATGAATGGTAATGGTAATTTCATAAATACATTAACAACAAAAGGAGGGCTAAGGAGAATTTCCTTCCTTCACTGGATGAAAACATAGTGACAGGATGAGGAAAAAGGCTGAAGTACCTAACACCTTCTTTGCCCCAGTCTTTAACAGTAAGACTGTTCTCTGGGTACCCATCCCATTGAGCTGGAAGCCAGGGAGGGGGAGCAGATTGACACCCCCATAATCTAAGGGGAAACAATTAGCAACTTTGGAGTAGGCAAATGATTTCAACCTGACTGTAAACATCCTGCCAAACTTGAGGCTTCACTTGTCTGGGCAGATCCAGCCATGGAATGCACCTTGCGTCATGCACTCATTGCCATAACCTTCCTGATCTTTCTGCGTATGCAGATTTATTCTTTTTATCCACATCTGGAGCACTGCCCTGCTCCATGCTGCAGCCTGACTGCTTGTCTGGTTGAGATCCCTCCACCCACTTTTCATGTCACTCTTCATGCACTGATTAAGCTTAAGAGCTCGAGATGGTAACTAGGGAAGCAAGTAAACAAGAAACCCCCCCAGAGGATGACAACACTAGGACTACAAGCACACAATGGTGTGTACTTACTGCCCATTTAGATACAGTCTTTATCTCCATCTGCTTTCCTAATTCTTGCTAGCCTATTCAGTGCTCCTTTCAAAATGAAATGGCCAAAATTAATTACTTAAATATTCTTTCCATCATCTCGGATTTATTTTATAAATCACAGCTCTCCAGGCAGCAGATCTTAACCTACCTATGTGACTTACATCAGGTATAAAATCTATTCTTAATTGCATATTTGACACTGACTTCGAAAAGGTGGCAGAGCAAAGCTTCAGTAGCATTTGTAGGAGTTTTAGTCATCTCCCTTTCATTGAAAGCAGAGAGTAAAAGCTCAATAAACAAACTCCCTATACTGGATGACCTTCTGATAATCAGATACATCATTTCCACTACGCCCAAAAAACACTCACTCAACAAGATATAAGATAATGGAAAAACAAACCAGATGACTTCATGTAACAAGTTTCAAATACCAATAGCTTTTCTTTTGCTATTTCCATCCCATTACATCAGCTTGTGACAAAAAACTGCAATACAGAAGGCACAGAGTGGAATAAATTCCTGAACCCCTTAAGCAGGGAGACGCTTGAAACAGGAAGTTCTTAATGCTTTTTTTAAAGTACATAAATTTGTCAGTCTGCTAAATCTGCCACAGCTTTATGCCCCATGTTTATTGGTAAAAAACTGGCACCACCTTTTGTTAGAAAATTTGAGTGCTTATGACATAATGATCTAGGAAACAAAGAACTAAAACAGAAACACGATGGTATCCTTACAAAACACAACAAAATGGAACCGCTGTCTTCAGTATGTGGAAGAGCTGCATTACGACTGATGCAGCTGAAATCAGTCGATTTTTGTCATCTCTTTTAGAGATAACAATTAATTAATTAAATAGTACATCCAACTCATGAAGTCCTCATCCAACCAGATACAATCAGCTTGCAAATCATTTGTAAAGAGATTATTCATATGGCAGGGTGAATCTAAGCGAAACATATAGACATACCTGTGCAAAGGCAGTTCTGACTTGGCATATTTATTCAACTGCAGATGAAATTTCAGTCATTTTGCTCCCAGTTCAGTAGCTTATAGCATAAAACTTGAGCTAATAAATTCTAATAGATCCAAAGTAGCTTCACTGCTAGCTGTGTTTTCCTTATGCTGCACTCCCCAAAGTCTACGTGCTAAGCAGCGAAGTACAAAAGCTATCAGGGTTAGCCTAGGTCCAACACTGATCAAGTAATAGTGAATCACTTGATCCCTGCTGAGACACTGAAGCCATTACAGGGTGCATGGCTTGCATTCCTTCCACCCCTTCCATCCTCCCATCCTATTCACAGGCTTAGGTGCTCTTCTGCTCTATAATCCCTGCGTATTTTGATACATTGGTAGGATTCTACAAACAGCTGTAAACTGAAGAACACCAGGAAACACCAAAGTGTCACAGACTAAGCTCTGCCACCTGCCTACCAATGGGAACTGTTGAATGAATTCCTTGTTTTGCTTTCCTTGTACACACCGCTTTTGCTTTACCTGCTAAACTGACAATAAACCCACTGTGTTTATTAACTCCAGCTTGACACAAATTCTGCCAATTCACCTGCTTTCAGTTAGAGCAGTTATCCCAGGTGCCCCGACTGATCACTTTTTGCTATGATTCAACCTCCACATACCCCCAAACTGGAGGAACAACTTTGCTGAAAGAGACTAATCTCACAACTTCAAGTACTGATTTGTTTACACGCAAATTTGACAACGTATTATCTACATGGCAACGTGTTATTTAAATACCCATATATTATCTTGTACTTTAAAAGTTTACACTTCACAAATCTGAAAATGTATGATAACTGAAAATAAGTGAAGAATTTCAAGAAAAAATTTGAATAATAAATTAAGACTATTCTATCAGAATCTAAAAGCACAAAGAAAACTGCAGAATTGGGAAAAAGAAAGAGCAAGCACTGAATTTGTAAATCAACAGTACAAACTTTTCTAAAAAACAAACAAAAAAAACCCCCAAAAAAGTCAACCAACAAAAACAAAACAAACAAACCAACCCAACAAAATAAAACAAAAGTGGGTCTACATTCTAACAAAAATAAATTCAGGTCCTACAAACAATGTTTACATTTGAGAATAAATTAGTTGGTCGCATCATTCCCATCCTTTTATAACCTATGAGTCTATTTAACTATAATAATGGAGATTTCATGCAATCATTTACCAGACCAACTTATATTTTACTTAATTATGAAATATTTTCTTCAGAAACTGACTATACGAACATTCTGCTTTGCAAAGTTCAAAGTGACAAATACTTTTTCAATATTTAACGAGTTATAACTTCTTTACTTGACAATAATTTGTCTTTTACATCCTGAAATGTAAGATTAAGTAATTTTCATTTTTCTACCCTGAACATAAGACAGTCAGAAACATTACTATTAGAAACATTACTGAAATAGGTTTTTATTTAGCCAAACTTTGAGTCACACTATTAGGATGTGCTAAGCAGATGCAAATTGCAATTGGGGATAACAAAAGAAAACAACTGTCTTTTTCTACCAGCCAAACCAGAATACTTTCTCTAGTAGTGAATCTGTAGAGACAATAAACATGCACACACACACTTTTTTTCCACCTGAATTCTTCATATTGTCAGAAAAAAATTCTCCTTTAATAGTGGGGATCCCACTACCAGAAACAAAGCAAGATAAATAGAATTTTAAAAGTAAACTTAACTGAACAGGTACTACTTTTCTAAATTTCATAATTATGTTTAACATTTTGGATATTTGAAAAGAATTGGGAAGCACGTTAACCGAACCAAGGGAGTTTTATTTTTTTGTGTCTGTGTGCTGGTTTTGGTTGTGATCATTTTCTTCACAGTAGTCAGTATGAGGCTGTGTTTTGGATTGGTACTGAAAACAGGTAATACAGGGATGTTTTCATTATTACTGAGCAGTGCTTACATATAGTCAAGGCCTTTTCTCAGTCTCACAGGCTGGGATGTAGAAGTTGGGAGGGGACACAGCTGTGACAGCTGACCCTAAATGACCTAAGGTATACTCCATATCATATGATATCATACTCAGCATATAAACTAGGGGAAGAAGAAAAGAGGGAGGAATGTTTGGGGTGATGGCATTTGTCTTCCCAAGTCACCATACTTGTCTTTGGAAGGCTTATCTGTCTTGGGAATTAAGATCTCTGTGATTTCTGCTCTCCCGGAGATGGCCAAACACCTGCCTGCCAGTGGGAACTGGTGAATGAATTCCTTGTTTTGCTTTCCTTGTACACGCAGCTTTTGCTTTTCCTGTTAAACCGACTTCATGTCAACCCACGAGTCTTCTCACCTTTACTCTTCCAATTCTCTCCCCCTTCCCACCAGGGAGGAGTGAGTGAGCAACTGTGAGAAGCTTAGCTGCCAGCTGGGCCTAAACCATGAAAGTCTGCTTAAATCTTAGAAAAGATAATGTGGTTTTATGTAAATTACTAAGCAGGTATGTCTAATGTGATATTTATAAACTTCTAGTTCTTCAAAATATTCACATTTTTATTTTCCAAACATTTTCAAATACCCAAACACCTGATTTATAAACATTTTTCTATTTCAAATGGTTAGATTTGGTACAACATTTGTAAATATTTCTCGCCACCATTTCTGACCACTGAAGAAAGAAGAAGAAGAATTACCCCTTCAGGATTATATTTTGCTAACACACCACTGCCGTGGAATTCTTCTAAGACATCCTTAATTTTCTTGGTGGAATCTGGATGAAGAATAAGAGAGAGAAAATGAAAACAGAGAAAACTGGTTTACAAAATATAAACCGTAATTAAAAAATCAAAAGCCAAACTGCTAATAGCTTTTCTCAATGAATATTAGTAATTTTCTCTAGCTGCATGAGAGCTGTGGGTAAAGAAAATGATAACATACTATCCCATCTCATTAAGTAATACAAAAATCAGCAAGTAAACACAAAATGCTCAGAAGCAAACAGTCTTTGACCTAATCCTTAACTATTGTTAATTAGCATATGTCTGAAAGAGCTGTTTGCAAGGACTATTTCAAGTCAGTTTTGTTGTCCTTGAAACACAAGTCATCTATGGAATACAGTCATTCCCAACAGTGCTACTGAATCATCTCTGGCACAGCTGCCAGCAACTGGAGGACTTAGAGTCATAGAATAGTTAGGGTTGGAAAGGAGAATACTGGAGAAAAAAAAAGATAATTTTTTCTTTAATCACATCACAGAAAACAAATGTTGCTATTGACACCTCAATTTTTGCAGACTTTTAAGATATTCTAACCACTGTCAGCTATAATAACTTTAGGACAACTTTTGTCTAACAGAATTGTGCAAAATCCCTGTAGTTCAGAAGCACATAGATCTAACCTTTCCAGTTTGTTTTTAATTGTCTACATGCAGAATAACAAAACAATTATTTCAATAAGTAGCCACTACATACAACTCTTAAACTCAGATTTGCTTAGAATACATCATGCACATAACAATTTTTCAAGCTTAAATATCTCAGCAATACAACAAAAATAACTGTAATTCAATGTTTTCTTTAAAATGCAGTAGTTGAGTGCATACTACTCAAATGCGCATAATGGACAAAACACAGAAGTAAACTGTAAACTAGTAATGAGTAACAGATGCATTACAGAAGAAAGCAAGTAAAATTCATGGCTGCACATTTATTTGTACAACAAAACCTAGAAGGAAAGGAGAGAAGCAAAGAGTACACCAAGAACAGAACTATCACATGAGCCATTAGTTAAACCCTTTAAATTATAAACATTAGGACCTAGACTTCCTGATTTTTTTAATTGTATCAACAAAATATAGCACTGTAATAGTTCTTACAAGTAAAAGAAATTCAACACCTCAGACCTGAAGTACGTTTACAAAAAAAAAAAATGCTTTTAGCATTTATCAAGAAAGGATTTCAAAAATAGCTTTGTAACAGCTCGTAACAGCTATAAACACCAGTAAAATTCCATTTTAAGAGGTGCTGGAGGAGTTGTTTCCCCCCTACCCTCTCACACAGTTTAGAATGTAATAAGAATGGCTTTTCCCAATGTTTGTCATTTTATGATTTTTTTTTTAAATGGAAACAGCCAAGACTATGTGTGGCCTCAATAAACAGTCCATTTTCACAAATCACATGTATGTCAATGTTATTGACAACTGTAAGTAATGGAGTTTAGCTGGTCTCATGATCACTTACAACATGTATTTACTTGATAAAGTCATTTATAGTCATATTGTGTCATTTGAAATACAGCAAATAATTACAACTTCGAGTGTAAAAAAACATTAATCAATACAGCAAGAAATAAAATTTATGAAGAACTGTAAACACAAGATGATGGGTTAGATATTTATTGATGAGGACAAGAACACAAATTGATAAGTGACAAAATTTCTTCACTTCATCTTTATTATTTCTATATGTTTTTCAGTAGTCATATGCAGGGTTGTATACAAAACTTAACAGTATCTTATGATAACGAAGTCAAGAAGTACCAAAGCAGCAGTGTGAGGTGAGCAGATGTTTGACAGAGGTGACTCAATCTCATACTAAAATAGGATTTTTCTACACTTTGGAGGAAAGAGGTTAGACACACATCAAATAGAAAGACAGCAAGGTCTCCTCACACACCTTTTATCATCCACATTAAATAAATATATAAATAAAATAGAAATAGCCTACTCTGTAGCAATTTTAAACAGCGTCTTGAGGTTCTTCTCCCAGTAATGGCCATACTTCTTTCATGTTTTGCCAGTTAAAAACTATTTAAGTTAGTATTATGCCTATGCAACCATAATTGAAACAGAAAACCTATCTTTTGTTATTTATTAAAAATAAATTCTTTGCTTTATTTTATTCATACTCCTCTTAAACAAGTATCATTATGAAAGAAAACATTCTCTATTCCAGCAACAATATGACTGTTCTCCTTTTTTCTGCATGAGCTTAAAGCAGTCATATCTAAAAAAACATAATTAATTCAATGCTTGAAATAACTGACAAGAAAAAAGGGTCTGCGGATGTAAATTCTACTTTAGTTGTCCCAGCAAAACTCTTCAAGAGATTTTCACGTTCTGGACAGGAGTTCTATTTATTACAAGCACGACGACATACATTTCACAGCCAAGACAGAACCCATTTTTCAGTCTTTTGTTACAGTCATTCAATCATTTTTTTAGTTCCTTTGACAGTATCCAAACTAACATAAATAAATATCTTTTAAAATGCTCAGAATGACAGAACAATATTTTAAGTGAAACACCATCTTTTGCATGCATACTCTTCAAAGTGCAGACACTCCTCAGAACCCATGAATCTTCCACAGCCTCTCGTAGGCAAACTAATGTTAGGAACATGTTCTATCTTTAAGAAGCTGACCTAAAGAAATATGAAGAATAGGATAATTTTCAAGTTTCATTCTCATTTGGGGATTAGAAATACAAGCGGTATTGCCTTGGAAAGCTCTACGCCCACAAAAATTAGAAACTCCAATGACATTTTCTCAGTTCTTCTTAAAAAAAGTACATGCTTTCTGTCAAAAACAGACCAAAATTCTGGAAAATATAGACAGAAGTAACTCGGAAGTTTTTCTACCTTTTCTTTCCCTAAGCTTTTTAACCAGGAAATTAAAACAATGCCATGCATTACAGTTTAGTCTGATCGAAATCATCTACATACTAACTTGAAAATGGTGGTGCAAACATAAGCACCAAACCAGAACCTGCGTTCTCACCTACCTACAAGTACGTGTTCTGCATAACTCAGCAACCTACCTCTGTGAGCAGTCTCAAATTCATAAGCACCACTCATGTTAAAATACAAATTCACTGGATTAGTCTTAGTGATTTCTTAAATTAAGGACAAATTCCTCCTTTATCTAAGCCTTTGTATTCCAAGTTCTCCTCAAGAGAGGCACTTTCTAAATATGTCTAGATATAGCACACAGCCTGTTACTGCAGAGCTTAAATCCCAGCTTATCTGCAAAGCTATAGCTGGCACATTATGAATTTCATGTAGCTTTAAATATAAAGCTTGTTTCAAGTAACAGCTCTATTTTTTTTTTTGTTCTCACAACTTCGTCTTTACCCACTAGCCCAGTGAATGCCCATGCTTTAGGCCTTCACTCACAATACAGAAGACCTTCAAGTCTCTCCTCTGCCTGGATGGATTCAAACTCTTATCCTTAAAACCCATCTTCTGCTGCAATTTGGATAGCATGCTGCAGTGGTCATCTAGTCAGGAGAGTGGAAAGAGAAACTGGGGACCAAGAATCAGAGCTTCCTTTGGATGAGGTGAGACATGGCTTCCCACATAAGGCTCCAGTGAGTTTGGGGCACAACAGGCTAGGCATGTTGTGGAAGACTGCTATCTGAAAAGCTATTACTAGTACGGGGGGGGGGGGGGGGGGGGGGGGGGGGGAAGTAGATGGATTCCACACAGAGCTGCAGAAATTTTATTCTAACATAAAGATTCCAAAGCAATAGATTTACAGATGAGACCTGGGCTAATGTACTGTTTCAGAATAAAGGCAAACCAATTAAAAGAATGACAATAGAAACAAGAAACCTACACATGTAACAGTAGAAGTGTCAAAGTGTCTTTTTCTTAACTGTCTTTCAGTCCTAACAAAGATACATTTTATAACTGATGACAAATTTACATACTAAGTTCAAAACCATTTAAGATTTAGCCCACATTAAAAATTATGATTCACTTTTTAAAATGACTCAACTTCAGATGAGTAAGACTGAGCACTCAGCTGAGACTGGAATTTGGTATACCATTCCCCCATAATCAGAAAACACAAAACAGAAGGAAAGCTTGCCCAGATCACATACTTTGTCTACATTTTCTTCCCATCCTCCCTGCAAAAAAATCCTTGAAAAGGAAAAAAAAAAAAAGAAAGACCATATTGTATTCATAAAAGTTTTTACAATTTAAAGGGAAATAAACACTAGAAAACAATGACTGGATTAAGAGTAATTCCCTTAGAAATTCAGGTATGTTTTTCAATCTCAACAGAATTTCATCATAGCCTCCATACTTACTGGACTGTAACACCTTAACTACCTAACACTTAATTTTAACACCTACAACAAAAAGCAAAGTAGTAACCACTTTCTACCTCTACATTCCTTTTGTAAGCTTTATACAATATGAAAAATATCACAGGCATCCAAAATCCTCTCATGATCAAGTTCAGAATTTATGTAGAAGCCACAGAGCTGTCTTCTCTGCATCTGCTTATAACTGAGAAAAAAAAAAAAAAAAAAAAAAGGTGCAACCTTCAATATTCAATTTTCTCCATGCCAACAAAGCCTAGCTCAAATTCAAAAACCCTGCTTGCTGGCTTGCTGGATAAGCCAATTGGGGAAAATCCAGCACTTAGTTGACATCACAATTTTTACACAAGTTCTTATTCTTCTGTGGACTTTTTTCTTTTGTGGATGCATTCATACAAAAATGTGTGTGCGTATATAAATGTATGCATATAGCTTTTTTGTTGTTGTTTTTGTGGGTTTTTACATAGCTTATTTTATTCAGAGAACTGGATAATGCTTTTGCTCAAGCTATTGATCTTCTTAATCTAAAGTTTTACTGGTCCAGAAACACCAGTATGTTAAAAAGGCCAAACCTGGCAACACATCTGTATACAGCACAGAAAGGTAAAAACTCTTCAACTTGCAACAAAAAAAAAAAGTTGTTCCAGTAAAAATATGCTTTTTCT